CCATTTGGATGAAACCAAAAAAGCCTAATTCACCATAATTAATCTTTAAACAATTTCGGTTATTTTCTATAAAGCGGTTTTTACATAGGATAGGCACATATTCTTTTAATGATTTGTTAATCATTACAAAAATAAAATTATGGAATCTAACAAATTTAAAATATAGTTTTTTTTCATCTATTTCTCTTATTAATAGTTATTGTGTATTCATTAAAAGGGTTGAAACCATTTTAAAACTACCATTATAGCATCAACACATATTGCATTTTCCATCAATCATATACAACCTTTGCATAAAATAGGAGAAAAAATTTACAATTAATCGTGCCAATTTAAACTATATTAAAGATGTGAATTATAGATATATGGAATTCAAATTAGATAATAAATTGGTGGTACAACCAAACATTAATTTCCTGCAATAATCCTTAAGATATCAGCACTAGAAAAAAAAAAGCCAAATAAAATCATACAATGAACAAGGATGAATGTTTAACGCTAGAAAACCAAAAAAAAAAAAAATCATACTATTATAGTCTGCAAAGTATTTGATTTGATTTTATATCATTAATCATCAACCAATGCCTTAAATCTTCACTTTCCATCTCCGCCTTCGAGATTCACAAGAACACATAATCTGCATAATTTCCAGAAAATCATTCTAATTTTGCTATATAAACTATTGTCAGAGATGAAATTGTGTCCATTATTGCAATGAAGATTAAAGATCTTTTAAGTGAGATTATTCATGGGTATTTCTATAAGAAATATGAGAGTTGCACCCAAAACTACCGGAAAAATGATGACTAAACAATTTGTTGAAGGTTTTTTTAGTAGGATAAACTGTTGCGAGGCTTTATGACAATTTCTCCAACTTTTGCTCCTGGCAAGGAAATTATACAATTGTTAATGTAGTTTAAGTTGTCATCGTTCTCCAACAATGAAATTTACTTCTCTTGCTTCTCCTACATGAGACATTTTACTTCTCTTTCATTGTGATTCAACCTCAAGACTTGTAAATAGCTTCGTCTTTTGTTATCAGGGGATTTATGACATGTCATTACGATTTATAATTTGTTTGGGGCAGCTGAAGCTTATCCAACTTATCCAGATAAGCTGCTAATCAGCAGCTGATCCGAATAAGTTGGCTGACTGTTTGGTTATTACATTAGAAAACAACTGATTTGCAGCTATTTCTAGATAAATGACAATTATGCTCCTGTGCGGTAGTGTTGTTTGACAAAACTGTCATAGCAATACCAAAAATTTAATCAGAAACATTAATCTCAAACCACAAAGATTCACCTATTTGTCTATTGCCTTCAGATCTACTGGTCCAACTTAGATCAACTTCATCAACAATCTCAAAAACATCTAATGGCCGGGTTCAGATCATAAGTAATACCAATCTCAAAGATCAAAACTTTCATCTATTCTTTTGTTGCCCTAAGATTATGGTTGTTCAATTCCAATTTTGAAGAGGTCTCTTAATATTAAAATTTTTTATCGGTTGAAGAATCAAGATACTAATCAACGGTATCAAATTGTCTCCTGCATAAACAACTCATGAAAAACTACTAAGAAAAAATTCACATTTTCTTAAGCTATATGATTGTAAAGGAGGCAAATGATCATTATGAATAAGAAATTGATGCAGCCCAAGAAAAACCTGAAAGGGCAACCGGAAAAAAAAGCAGACAAGCATAAAAGAATTCTGGAAGAAGTCGAAATGTTTTCTGTTAGCATGCGGTAGCGGAGAAGGTGCATGCGGTAGTGGAGGGGGAGGATCTGACATTGTGATTCGGTGGTAGCCTTCCTCAATGGTCCTGTGACATAAGGAGAAACAATCAATCCTTTACGGAAGAAGGTGCATGCGGTTAGGGCTGTCAAAAAAGCTCGTTGTTTGCGAACAGTTCGTGTTCGGTTCGTTAAATAGTTTATGTTCGGCTCGTTCATTAAGTAAACGAGTCGAACACGAACAAGTGCTTAAAGTTCGAATTGTAAACGAGTCGAACACGAACAGTTCTTTATTCGCTCCTGTTCGGCTCATTTTAGCTCAAAATAAAAAAAATATAGAATTATTTATATAATAATATATTGCATATATTATTTATATAAAAATATATTATATATATTCATATCTAAGTTTGAAACGTAACTGTTTGTATGGCAATGTAGTTATGCGCCCTTTTTTGCATACATTCGATGAAGGTTCCAATCCAGCACTCTGCATCTATTTTTTTAGTTTAATTTTAACGAGCCAATTTCGAGCCGAACACGAACACGAATATTTAAATCGAGTTGAACACGAACACACTGTTCACGAACCAGTTTCGAACACGAGCCGATTTCAAACACGAACAATTTCGAACGAGCCGAACACGAGCCAAGCCTGAGCTCGCTCAAGCTCGACTCGTTTACAACCCTACATGCGATAGTGGAGGGGGAGGATCGTGAGCTTCGGTGCCGGGGTTGACGAACGGGGAAGAAGGTGCAGTGGAGACGAATGGGGAGTTCGGTTTCTAAACGACGCGGAGGGTCACAAGAGACAAATAGAAGAGCATGGAGGAAAAAAATCTCTCAACGCTGGTAGAACACGCGGGATCAATCCCGCGACAACATTTATTAAAGAAAGAAAAACGTCGTTTTTCATTAAGCGCTCCAAAAGCACGAAACAAACAGTAGGACGGAGTTTTGAAAACGCCGCCCGCAGTTATAAGCTGGCCCAAACAAGCAGTTAATCACAATTGTTGCCTTCTCCATCATGGGTGGCCAAAGTTTTTCATTTTTTAATTGCAAGATAAAATTCAAAAAGAGTTACTACATTAAAAACATGGCACATTCGCGTTTATAGTGGCAACTTGATTTGGTTTGAATAAAGTTTTGCCCAGATGCACTATATCTTTTACTTTAGGGAGTCAAATCATTAAACAAAAACATGAAAACTTTTTAGAAAGGTTATCTTTTTACACATGTGAGTCTTAATTTGATTTCGTTAGATTTAAATTTCAGTTTTATCTTCCTTCTCTAAATCATGATATTATTTATAATGTTTAAATAATTTTAGTTAAGTTTGTGATAGCTTAGGTTTCTATGAGTGCAGGGTTTTCAATTAGTTGCATGCATGGTTTTAAACTTCTATGGGTTTTTTTCTAGTAAAACACTATTAAATTGGCATTTGCATTATGTACAACCAAAAATAGCCTGCACAGATCTTGAAGCAGCTTGACGGATCAAATCAAATGCTAAACGTTCAACCAGAGAACTCATAGTCGACCAAAAGACCTGAGGTCGACCAAGGGCTATCTTGGCCGACCGAAAGCGGACAAACATGTATGGAGGAAAATGTGAGGAACAGTGACTCTTCAACCAACTAGCTGGAGTCTGAACTTTCAGCCGGTCGTCGCCTCATGTAACTGATTGATCATCTTAGGTCGACCACCCAGACTAGCCGAGCAGCCATCCTTCGCCGACCATCTAGATCTAACCGCCCGCAACATTCAAACCTGAGCAGCTTCCAAACACAATGATCGCCCAACATCTAGACAAAATGGCTGACCAACAACATTTTAGCCAACCGAAGGAGGAATCCGCCAAGCAGAGAATCAAGAAACATCAAAAAATTCTAAAAGCAGTTATCAAATATGAAAAGACCAAAATATCCTATAAACCCCGCATTAAATCAGGGGTAGCAATGTGATTTCTATTTTGGTAGCCCTCTTATCTTCTATAAATAGAGGGTCCAACACATGTAAAGTGATTTTTTTGGCTCTCAAATATAGATCGATACTTTAGAGGGAGCTCCTCTCTCCTTCCCATCTTTGTAATCTCTTTTTTATATGTAAAATGGGTTATATAGAGCCCGAAAATATCCCAGTTCGCCCCGACGGGACAAATCTATGTGTACTCTTTCTCTCTCTTTATCTCTTTATCTCTCTCTACTCTCTGGTTCTTACTGCTCCGATCATTGGGCATGTCTCACCGGACAGTTTTGGATTCAACACATTGATTTGTTCATATTCTTTTGTTTTCATCAAAAGTGATGACTACTTTTTAAAAATAGGCGTTTATGATATGTGAAGTTTTGTGCTCGCTTGTATGATTTTATTTATCTAATAGTTAATTTTATTTATTTAAATGATGGCAGACTTAACCAACAACAACGAAGAAAAAGCAAAAATTATTACTGAAATCAAATAGGAAATTACAACCAACCAAAAAAAAAATTTGAAAGTCCAACAAGGACGACACTAACTCTAACAAGGGTTGGATCAAATGGTGGTGGTGGCAGCTGGTCAGGGTCAGGAAGATGGCTAGATGGTGAACAAGGGCGATTAACAAGCAAAAACAGCAAAGAGGCTACTTTCCAGGTTCCTGGACAGCACATTGCGGGCATCACTGTGGAAGGGTTGTTCTGGGTGATGACAAGAAGGAAGATAGCAATGCCAAGGGGGAGGTGGCTAGCAGCATGGACAGAGGTGGAGGCTGGATGTGAAGGGGTATAAGAAGGGTAATCACCAAACTGTCTCAAACAAACTCAAGCCAAAAACTATAAATCAAGACCCTAATACAATACATATATAGGAATGGCTAGAAAGACAGGATAAGAGGAAATTGCTGAAAATTAAGAAGTAAAAGCAAAAGTGTCTGGATAGGTTCTACTCGGATCGCAGGAATCTGCTGCCCAATCCGCATGGACATGGAATCGCATGATCCCTTACACTCCAGTGACACTTATATTGGATATGTACAGAAATCTTAGACCATAAAATGTCCAACTTTAGTACCCCGGCATAAATTGCTAGTATTAAATCCAAAGAAAGCAATGTGCAAATACAAATTGAAATACTGCAATTTTGTTCAAGCACTCCAGTCTATACAAATTATAATTGTTGTAAGAAATCAACAAATACAAGAAAAATAAAAATGCAATAAAATTTCTCTAGTGACCAAAGTTATTAATTTCTAATGCATTATACTCTTTTAACATTGTGACGCACCTTTGTGTGATATACAGCACTGGAATCTACAAACGCAAAATCAAGACCAGGAAGGCCTGCAATTTCTTTATAAATTTGAAAGTCTGTAGCTGATTTAATTGCTCCAGAAAGAAACAGATCCTGCAGAATCATGATTATTTCAACTTAGGTAATGACAAGAGAAATTTAAAAAATGTGATGAAAATGAATGGAAAAAGGCCAGCTTTACTTTTCTAAAAAATAGCAGAAAATTATTCTTCAAGATAAAAATGCTCTCAAGAAGCTTATACATATATAAACATTCAGGAAGCTTTTAGTGCTATCTATTAGTATATGAAGCATTTCAATTAAACATTCAGGAAGCTTTTAGTGCTATCTATTAGTATATAAAGCATTTCAATTAAACATTCAGGAAAAGAAAATCATTTCAAATTAAACGCAGGAAGCTTTTAGTGCTATCTATTAGTATATACTTAAAATTTTATTTTTTATTTTTTATTTGGCATTCAAGAAACTTGGAAAAGTGCTACATTTGATTACAAGTAAAAAAGAACAACTTCAACATGAAATGGCTCAGATTATACTAAAAGAATGAAGAAAAACTATACGCCCAAGTAAAAGAAACTAAGAACTAATATACAAACCTGGGAAATTATTTGACCAGATGGGTATTTTGCCACATTGGCGTAAGTTTCAATGCCCCACGGCATACTAGTCTGCAAAAGAAAATCTAGAATAACGGCTCCTCAATAACAAAGTGCAATGAAGAAATTTCATCATAATCAACACAATGAAAAACAAATAAATAAAAGCTCTTAGCAAATGATGATTTAGGAACTCACATTACCTGAAAAATGCTAGATTTTCCTCCAACTCCCATGGCTTCCAAATCAATAGCAAAGCGTATGGTGTTCCTCCATGGATGCTACACAAATAAAAGTGTTTTATGTATTAATTATTGAAAGATCTCGAAAATAATTAGGATTATATTCCATATTTGTTATACTCTCTATTTATTGGAAAAGAAATCTAAAATTGAACAACGATTTAAAAAAAAATTTCCACATTATTGAAATCAATTTCAAACAAAAATTGGAATTCTAAGAAGGGATAATGGGACTGAATATTTCAACAAATATTTGAGAAAATTATTTTGGAAAAATGTATTCTGCATCAATTTATTTGTCGTGCACACCACAACAAAATGATATTGTTGAAAGGAAAAATACGCATTTACTTGAAGTTACCCGGGCACTTATGTTTTCCATGAATGTTCCTAAATATCTTTAGGGTAATGCACTTCTTACCTCCTGTTATCTCTGCACTTCTTACCTCCTGTTATTTAATAAACAGAATGTCATCTCGAGTTTTGAAATTTAAAACACATTTACAAGTCATGAAAAATTATTTTTCCCATCTAAAATAACAGCTGATCTCCCTTTAAAGGTTTTTGGATGTATTTGCTATGTGCATGTCCCAAATGTATTTTGCTCAAAACTTGAACACAAAGCTTAAAAATGTGTTTTTATTGGGTATGCTTCTAATAAACATGAGAACAAATGCTTTAATCCTGTCACAAAAAATTTTTTTGAGAGCACGGATGTCAAGTTTATCGAAGATCACTCTTTTTTTCAAATTAATTTTTTCAGGGAGAGAACTTAGTTGAAGAAAACAATTTTTGAGAAACTTTATCCATTTCTTTAACTAATTTTGATATGGAAACTAGGGTCAGCACTACTAATCCTATTTTGTCAAATGTTACCTTATCAGAGACAGGAGGGGAAGTACTTCCAACAAGTCATAATCTAGTGGATCATAATCCTCAACATGACCTGCAGGTTTATACTAAAAAGAAATTCCATAAAGTTACTACAGTCTCAGTTATTCCCTCAGTAGATGTTCAATCACCTTTGCCGAATAATGACCCTACAACTCAGAGTAACCTTCCCTCTACTTCCACTCCTTATGATCTTGATCTTCCAATTGCTTTCAGAAAAGGAATCTGAACAGTCACGAAACATCTTATCACACAATACTTGTCATATAAAAAACTATCAAAAAATCATAGAGCATTTGTATCTAGGATTTCTAATATGCTTGTTCCAAGAACTGTTCAGGAAGCATTAAGTGAACCGAGTAGAGATTAGCTGTGATGGAAGAAATAAATGCTCTTAAAGAAATAATATTTAGACAGTGATGCACCAAAAATATATGTATTTTTAGACCTATATTTTATACTCATTTTTTGTAATATTGCACTTTAAAGAAAGGTATTTTGCATGTTTTTGGCTTCAGCTACAAGAAATGGACTTTTGGAGAAAAAAAACAAAAACGGTGCAATTTAGAGCTAAAACTAGCAAGAAAGAAAATTCTGGCTTAATACATTTTGATGTCTCTCTATGTTTAATCTACTTCTCACTTTTCACATGTTTTTGAATGAAATTACACTTTAAATAAAGGTTTTTTTCATGTCTATTTTGTAAGTCTGTCTGTTAGGAACGAAATGCAACTGAAATTTGGCAAAACGGAGCTAAAACGGAGCCAAACGGAGCGAAATAGTGTAGCTGCTGCAGACCGACGTCGAAGGCACCGACGGCGACAGCTCCCGGGACGGTTGTGGACCGATTTTTGGCGAATTTTGTTGTTCCAGAAGGCTCCCAAGTGATTCAAATACCTCACGAAGTGATTCAATGTATCTAGACACTTGGAGAAGACTCTTGAATGAAGAGACATGTCTTTTGGATGAATAGATTTGTCTATTGGGAAAAAGGAGGGACTTGGTGTCTCTTTAAAAAAGAGTGTTTGGCGCCTCTCATGGCGTGTGGGGGCTTATGTGTGTGTGTGTGTGTGTGCGTGAGTGTATTGTAGAGTAAATTCTTTTGTGTGGAGAGGATTTTTTTGAAGAATTGTAAGAGAAGAAGAAAGGTGAGAGGTTTCTTCCTCATTACACTTCTAAGAGAGAATTTAGTGTTAATTGTAAAGAGAGAAAGTGCTACAAGTGAACTTAAAGGGATTTGCTTCAATTCTAGGTTTGTAAGAGGAGAGGGAAGACGAGTTGTGTTATTTTCTTCTTTATTTTGTAAACTTGTTTTTTTTATATAAAATCTGTGTTTTGTTGTATTTTTCTCATGAGTTTTGAGTAGTTTTCTTTATCTTTCTCACTAATCTGAGATATGGTAAAATGAAGAGATAATTAAATGACGAGATAATTTGAATGCGTCATTTTAAAATATAAAATAAATTGTGATGATTTTTGCACTCCGTTCTTAATTTACTTTTCGATCTTGCAAATTGAAATGTTAAAATCTGAGAAATGAAGTATAAGTTCTACAAAAGAGTGAGAATCACATTTAATTCCATGGAGGAGTATTTCGTTCATGGAATTAAGTGCAAATAAATAGAGAAATATTCATTGTTGGGCGTGAATTGGAGATTTTAGAGTGAGACTAAAGTTTTCAATTTGGCCTTAGTGTTTCGCGCGAGTTAGCCCTGAGATGAAGGGAAGCGGGAACCCTGAAGTGGGAGTCAGTATCCGCCTAGCCTAGCCACGGATTTAGAGATTAAACCTGAGATTAGCTAATGATTCTCTATAACATTGAATCAGGGTAAAGAATTTAAATTGCTCCTATTTGGCATAATACAACAATACAAATTCAAACCATTTATCTCTATCATTAACCAAAAACTCATTATAGTGGGAATGATACTTTCTTAAATTTGAACTCTTCTTCACAAAACTTTGTTTAGTCTTAGTAAATTTAACTTTAAAGTTTAGAAATTAATTTAGTAAACTTAGTTTCGTTAGCATACATTAAAACTAATTTAATCAACCTACCAAAGTAATTGTTTATGGTAGTATACTAGAATTAGCTTGAGAGATTTCTTACCTCGCTTCTTCGTGGGATCGATAGTCGGGTTTTTTAAAGAAAGTCTTATATTACTCGAAGCGATACGTGCACTTGCATAGAACTTCTAGTGTGTGAACTATTTTATATATTTTATATAACATTTCTATTTTGCACATTAAATACTTAATATAAATTGGGTCAACTTGTTGGCCATATTTTTGAAAAGCTAAATTACTGTATAATTTTGGGACGGGTCAAGTTATTGGCACTGTTACCGTGGATTTAAATTGACATAAAACAGACAGTAAAACAAAACACGTTAGGGGCGCATCAGACAGTCATTGATCTACCTAAACACAAAAAGACGGTTGGGTGCAAATTGGTGTTCACGGTAAAGTTTAAAACTGATGGAAGTGTTGAGAGGTACAAAGCGAGACTAGTAGCAAAAGGATTTACTCAAACTCATGTTATTGATTACTAATAGATGTTTGCTCCTATTGCTAAAATTAACTCTATTAGAGTACTTCTTTCTCTTGCAATTAACTTTAACTGACCACTTCATCAATTTGATGTAAATAATGTGTTTTTAAATGGAGAATTGCGAGAATAAGTATATATGGGCAGGCCACCCGAATTTGAAGAAAAATTTGGAAAGGTAAAGTGTGCAAATAAAAAAAAAATCTTTGTATGGGTTAAAGCAGTCTTCTAGAGTTTGGTTTGAGCGTTTTGGTGATGTTATCAATAGGCACGGATTCTCTCAAAGCCAAGTTGATCACACTCTCTTTTTCAAATATTCCATCAATGGTAAAGTAGTCAATGTGATTGTTTATGTAGATGACATAATCATGACAAGAGATGATTCTCTGGAGATTAGGAACTTGAAAAGGAAACTTGAAGCTTTGATCATAAAGACTTAGGAAAGCTGAAATATTTCTTCGGAATGGAGTTTGCAAGGTCCAAGGAGGCATTTTTTATCAATCAATGCAAGTATGTACTTGATTTACTCAAAAAAACAAAAATAACAGGTTGCAAGGTAGCAAATACGCCAATTGAACTTAGTATAAAGTTGAATACAGTAGCAGCAAATGAGATAATTGATAAAGTACGTTATCAAAGATTGATAGGGCGACTATTCTATTTGGCTCACACTCGACCTGACATAGCCTTTGCAGTGAGTGTTGTGAGTCAATTCATGCATTCACCTGGACCTACTCACTTTGAAGTTGTATTTAGAATTTTGAGATACCTCAAAAGAACTCCTGGAAAAGGACTTTTGTTCAAAAAGAGAACATCTTCTAATAGATGCCTACATAGATGCAGATTAGGTAGAAGATGTAAATGATAGAAGATCCACATCAGGTTATTGTACATTTGTAGGCGGAAATCTGGTTACTTGGAAAAGTAAAAAACAAAGTGTGGTGGCAAGAAGTAGTGTTGAAGCAAAATTCTGCTCGATGATACATGAACTCTGTGAAGTATTATGGATAGAAAGACTCCTGGAAGAGTTGAAGATTCCTATACCAGCACCTATTAAAATTTACTGTGACAACAAGGCTGCAATCTCTATAGCTCATAATCCAGTTCTACAATATATAGAAGTTGACAAACATTTCATCAAAGAGAAGATAGATAATGGTGTGATATGTATATCCTACATACCCACTGCTAGCCAAATAGCAGATATACTAACAAAAGACATTTCCAAAGTGCAGCATGAGAATCTAGTTAGCAAGCTTGTCATGAGTGACATCTTCATGTCAGCTTAAGGAGGAGTGTTGAAAGATCTCGAAAATAATTAGAGGATTATATTCCAATATTTGTTATACTCTATATTTAGAGGGTTATAATTGTATGAGTGATCTTAGAAATCACTATTTATTTTCTTTAATTAGGGAGATTAGCTACCTCTTATATTTGTTATTATTCATTTCCTTGTCTACTGTATCCTAATTTTATTGCTTTCCTTACCAGTAAATCCTGTAATGGGTATTTATACCCCTCTTTGCATCAATAAGAATAAGTCCTCTTATATTTCTTCATTAATGTATTAAATATTATACATCATCAACATAGATTCGTTCATAGAGCCAATTATTTTTTTGTGGATCCCTAAACCATATTATGAACAAAAACTTGACAAGGAAATGAGTATCAGGATTGGCATGGTAAGTGCTTGCAACTATGCAATACAAGAATAATAAATAAACAGATAAATAAAATGGCTTAAAAATTAGTCAAAAGTTATAAACAAGAAAAAAGGGAAGTTTGAAGCCTCTTTAAAGAAGTCCATCCTGCATTGGTAATGAAAGATAAAAATAAAGTAATCTAGCATTTCAAACCTGCGTAATAAAACTGTGCGCACCATCAAGACCCTCTTCTTCTCCAGAGTTAAATAAGAAAATGATACCATTCCTGAATCCATGAGCCCATTGAGATATTCCACGAGCAAGTTCCAGCATCACAGCCACACATGAACTGCAGTCACCAGCTCCTCCCCTAAAAAAAAAAGTTTCTGTTTGACATCTGAACCCGTAAATCTGTTGCTTTTGATTATGATAAAGAAGAAAGTCTGTTTTTTAAAGGAAGTTTCTAATGCTTAAAAAACATAGCAAAAAGATATCAAATCTAGAAATAATCTTCTCATCCAAACAACAGCTTAATAATTTTCAAAATTGTGCTGCATTGTAGAGACAAAACACAGCTTACAATCATAGAACATAAGGCAATGAAAGCTAGGATCATCAAGAGAAATCATAATAGTCATTCAATCATGTCATAATAATGCAATCTTAAACTTTACAGCTTATTGTGAAAAGTTCAAATCTTTTTCGATTGATTATAAAGATGTCTTGGTGTATGCTTTTAGTGAACGAAATTTTTAATTGTTTAGAATTTTTTAGTGATAAGTGAAAAGTTAGAACAGTGTAAATAAATGGTTAAGAGATTAATGACATTGAACTAGAAAAATAAAAACTAAATATATGATAAGCAATTTTAATGGATGTGACATGAGTAATTATCCATCAATATTATCAGAAAATAAAATGACTCTTAGTTATGATAAGTTTTAAGTACCCTGAATCTACATTTAGAAGAACAGAGAAGTAGATGAAGATTATATGGTTAACATAGAGGTGTTTCAGCACAACATTGTGCATAAGAAGGGTGAAAATTTATAAATTCAAATTCAGCTAGCACTGTTGTATGAATCTGAGTGTTGGGCAATTAACAAAATTGTTGATATGTAAGTTGAGTGAGGCTGAAATGAGAATGTTAAGATGCGTGAGTCAAAATAAAAATAAAAAATTAAAGCATGAATATGTTATATGAACAGTTGGAATAACATCTATTGAACAAGATAGTTGAAAATATAGTTTGGTAGTTTAGATTTGTTCAATGAAAGGCAAAAATGTAACCATTTGATGAAGTATTTGGAAGTTAAAGAGAAAGACCTAACATAATATGGACTGCAAGTCAAAATATTTATGCATAACAAATGCATTTATGCAGAACAAATGCAAGGCCTCACGCAGAACAAAGTAAGAAAAAATGAAAAATCATAAGTTGACACCAAATAATTGAATAAGGCTAATAATGCTAATGATTGTGTCAATTAACTATGTCACATTATATATAATTGTCATTGACTTGATTGACAGTAAATTATCGCTAGTTCGTCATCAAATTATTTTTCTCAGTAATTATCATTTTTAAATCATAATGATCATTAACAAAAGCTACCAACTTATCCCAGCTATTTGGGGTTGGCATTGATTGCCTTTTCAATGAGATCCAAAAATATTAAAAATTTCTTGTGTATGTGACAATCATGTAATCATGTTTGATCATTCAATTGAAAATAAGTGTGTCTGTGTCAGTGTGTGTGTGTGTGTGCGCGCGCGTGTGTGGGATTGCTTCTCTCCCTAGTTGAATTAGTTCCATCTCTCTCTTAACTAGAAACTCACATGCTCTCTTCTTGGTTCTAGGTCCCTCCAAAGATCCCAATACCTCATGATGTAAGACAAATGAAGCATAAAGTCATTACCAGATCTCAAACTAGACAAATAATATTTAAAATATTTTTGTAGTTTGATTTTTTTTAAGTATTGTAATTAGTATTTCTTTGTAGTTAGTTGTGCAATTTTAATAAAAATGCTAAGTGTCATGTGAGCTGAATTTTAGTCCAATAGAAAGCTATGCCACCTCACTTCACCATCTCATCAAAATCCAAGAGAAGCCTGAATAGTTGTCCCATTCTAGTAAATTTCTTAAGCTTTTAGTGCCATGTTTCATCTTCCAAGGGAACCATTCAATTAGTTTAATAGCATTTGAGTTTCTAAGATGATTATATGAAGCCTTGTGTAGTTTACAAGATCATTATTTATGTAGTTGGCCACCGCCTCAATTCCTAGTGTTATTTTGACTTCTATTTTGCTCGTAATGCTTTAAAATATCAAAAATGCCAAAGTGTAATGATCTTTAGAAGGAATAAAAATTCAAATTTAAGAAGAAAATCTCTACTAAAGGGAAGCCTAGGGAAATCTCCGAGATCCTAGGTTTCATAACTTGATTCAACTTTCCTTTAGTAAAGAGGTTTGTGCTCTTATTATTTCTTTATTTTGTTGGATTTAATTTTCTCATTTTCTTGCTCACATTCCCCTTAAGTGAACATGAAGTCTCCTTGACTCCCCACACTTCTAGTAATGGTTTCTAACATTTAAGCGAACTGCATAGACCACCGGCCATCAATACAACCATCCTCCCTATCATGACCCGACCCGGGACTTAGAATTAATCAAGGCGGGAACAAACAATTGGACGATGAGAAATAATTTTTTTTTCAATATTTATTTTCTCTAGCTAATTATTAATAAATGAAATAGCCACTAAATCAATAGAATTAAGCAACATAATTAAAATTATGTCGTTATTGGTTGCCCACGTCTTCTATACACGTTTTCTCTTATATCTTTCACCTTTTGATTAATTAAATTAAACTGAAAAGTTACTTTAAAATAACTGTGAGCTAAACAAGTCAGTGAATATTTAAAATCCTCAAAGACGATAATATAATGAAAAAAAAGAAGTAATATGCATGTCAGTTAAAGTTTTTAATAAATCTATATAAATATTTGATGTTATTCAAATAGTCTTACTATATCAATAGTATATCAATATCAATTCATATCTATACATCCATCACAGAAACACCGTCTAAAAATTTGTATCAATTAAGATACTTCATTATCAATATTTTTTTTCAATATATGTGTACGGGTATATATTAATATTCCCCAACTAATATCATTAAGAAGTAACTTCATCATAGTCAAGCATGCACATACAAGCATACTATAAAAAATATTATCATTGTTAAATATTGCATTCTCAATTACATAACAGTCAATATTCTTGTACAAGATTCAATAATAAATTAAGCAAAGCATAACGCACAGGTCTTTCGTACAATATAAACAAAATTTATTAGTAACAATAAATGCATTTTGTTGAGAAGTAATAAAATATTACTATAATAAAAAATATAACCACTCACCTCGATGATAGACGATCTGTTTGTTCTAACATGTATTACTTCTATCAAATTATCACTTATAAACATAAAATATTCGATTATCACTTTATTTAATTGTGATTTAATTTAATTTTGAGTTATTGTTGTATCGTACTATTTTAATTAAGATCTTAATACTTTAATCTTTAAATTTAATTATGGTAATCAATATTAATATTAAAAATATTAATTAGAACAAAAACCTAAACTTTCTTTAGTGTCTGAATTACTTGCACTTAACATCTAAATAATAAACATATATTTACATATATAATATTGTATTTATTAAATAACTTACCTTTAATTATAGTCGAAAAACCATCTCAAGCATCCATCCTCCTTCCTTCTTCAACTTGGTCGCATCCCGAGCAGTCACGGCTACGCAAGGATGAGCTCTCGACGTCGGCTTGTCTTCTTCCCGGCTCGGCTTCGACTATCTGGCACGAGCCTTTCTCCTCCTGCTTCCTCTTGCTCCACACAGTACCAAAGCCGCCACCTCCTTTACTCGACAGAGACGTCGTCATCAGCCACTAACGCCCCCCCTCAGTTTCAATCAAAGCAAGGGGAAGCCCTAACTTGCGTCGTTCGACTCTCCTGTAAGTTTTTGCCTCCCTCCTGATAAATTTAAAAGCGAACTTGCCTGTTTGGTTTCCCGACCTCCACGATTCGCCCCTCTTTTGTTCGTTTTCTGACTCCTCACTTCCATTCCCACAAATTTGACTCTTCACTTTCTCTTCCAACTCGATGTTTCTTCCTCCCCCCAAGTAACAAAATTGTTACACTCCCTTTCTTCTATTGCATATATCTGTAATTTCAATATTAACCCCAAACAAGTATTAGATCCTCTACCCCGCATTCCAATTTATCAACAAATAACTTAATTACATCATTTTCCCTTTCAAAACATTGCCTTAAGAAACACATAAAGTCAGTCCATAAACTAAAAAAAAAAAAGAAGTCAGTCTTTATCTGAAACCCAAATCCCATACGGCCATACCCACCTTGAAGCTCTCAACCACCAACGGTTACCCCTCCTCCCCAAGTTTTCAAAGTTCTAAATCACATACATTGAGTCATACTTTTCCTTGCACCAAATTAAACTACCCCCCATCATTTTCCACTTCAAAACTCGCCATACACCTTGCATCGCTTATCCTTTCTCACCGCTTAAAAGGCACCATTCTTGAATTCTCACACCTAGTCATCCTCCTTGAGTCCAATCTCTCTCAACAATTCTCATAGCTCTACTAGATCTAACTAGAAATTTCTCATTTCTCCCACTCTCCAGATTCTTCCCTATGACCTTTACTTTTCTAACTATAAATAATCACCACGCCAAAATTTCGTCAAAGCAACCACTAAAAAGAAAGTACGTTGCCACAATTGCCATTTTAAAAATTGTATAAATTATAACCAAAAGGTTCACGAGGAACTTAAGTTTGATCAACTACTTTGATAAGACAGTTTGTGCCTACTGGATTTAAAAGGTTCCCTAAAGAGAACAAACTATCTCACAGAACTTAATGCAGATGTCATGCTGTTCAATAATCAGAAAAATGTGCTCCAGCTTATAATTCTCATTGAAATTTAGAAAAATGCAGAATAAATCGTTATTGAAATTCAGAACAATGCAGAATAAATTGAAATAATCTTAATGATATGAAAGGGGTATAAATAAAATTAAAAACAATAAAAAAAAAGAATAAATATGAAAGGAAAGATATATTATACAATATATCCAATTTTATTAATTATTTAAAGTTAAAGGGAACAACATAAAATAGGAAAGTCTAAAATAGGAAAAATAAATAAATTCAATCCAAGAAAAGAAATTTAAAATGAGAAATGAAACAAATCCTAATATAAAAAAATAATTTATTCCTCGTAACTTCTCACCAGAATAAATTATTTCCTAATGTAACTTATAACACTCCCACTTAAGTTGAAACATGATTGAAAATCATATAAAACTTGAAACATGGTTGAAAACTTGTTCAACTTGAACTTGAAAACATCAATGGGCGAGAAGATCCTGAGAGGTAGAATTTGAAGTCTTTGGCCCATACTGCGGTTGTCATTGACTGAGTTCCTACAACGTATGAAGGTAGATGGAAGGCTCGTAAAGATAATGATGAGGGAGAGTTTGCAGAGAAGTAGACACAGCGGTTGTCTTTGACTGCAGTTCCTGCAGCGTTTATAGGTAAATGGATGGCTACTATCCTACAAGTAATGTTGCAAGAGAGTTTACAGGAAAGTAGACAACTGCGATTATCTTTGACTGCAGTTTTTGTAGTGTTTGTAGGTAAACGAAAAACTCCTACATATAATGTTGCAGGGGAGTTTGCAGGGAAGTAGAGCAACCAATAGGAAAAACTGCAGGGTATGGCCTACAGAAAAAAACTAAAGAGGTAGACCTCGCTGCAGGAAAAGTCTTCGGAGAATGGCATGCTGCAGGAAGAATTTAGATGTAGGGTATGTTGCAGTGAAATCTCCGAAGGACTAATACAGGAAAAAAGTTTCGAAAGAGGGCTTGATGCAGGAAAAGGTTCCGGAGGATAGCTTGTTGTAGGGAGAATGATGGTGAAGAACCTGCTACAGGAAAAAACTTCCGGAGGAAGGTCTGATACAAGAAAAAGCTCCGAAAGATGCCTGATACAGAAAAAAGTTATGAGGAGACCTGCTGGAGGAAAAGGTTCTGGAGAAGGCTTGCAGCAGGAAAAGCTCCGGAGGAGGGCCTGTTGCAGGAAAGATTCCGGAGGAGGGCCTGCTGCTGGAGGAAAAGGCCTGTTGCAGGAAAGATAGCAGGAAAAGCTCCGGAGGAGGGCCTGTTGCAGGAAAGATTCCGGAGGAGGGCCTGGTGCAGGAAAAGGGCTCTGGAGGAGGGACTGCTGCAAAAAAAAGGACTCTGGAGGATGTCATGACCACATTAGTGTTGTTAGATTGATACCTACCATAGCCTCCCCCAATCCATCACTGATTTTGGCAAGGATCCCCGAGTCAGAGTATTTAGTGACTGCTTGCATGATCGCCCTAGCTCTGGGGGCAAGATCGTCACTCTTGAAGATGTCGGAGTAGACGAAAACCACATTTCAGCCAAGTTACAACATGAAAGCGGCATCGGCATGAGTAGCAAAGCCACCAACTGCTAAGTGGACGATCGGAAGGCACCCTAACAGCTTGGTCTGCATGACAAGATCATAAGGAGCAGCAATCCTATTTGCATAAGAAAAGGCCTCATCGTCAACCATACTGTGAAGGGTGTGAATGTCTCTCCCATAACAAAACGAACATTCTGAACGGCCTCTGCTATGTTCCATGTCCCTGCTTCGCATTTGGTACGAATCATGGCGGCATCCTCACGGATGAGTTGGAGAGCCTCAACTAGATCGCGATAGCCACAGACGAAGGGCATGTGGAAGTTGTGCTTGTTGATATGGTGGTATTCGTCGTGGGGGTGAGGACCTTGCTCTCCTAGACATAAGATCTGTTTGGGGCAGATGCAGCTTATTGAATAATCTGCTGATAAGCCGATTAAAAAAAATCTGTTGATAATCTAAATCTAGGGGTGTTAGTTATTAAAATTTTTTTTTTTTTTTAAAGTCAAACCGCGGCCAGAAAGTTTCAACCGCACCTATCTAGGTGTGGTTTGAAAACATTGTTTTCAGCGTTTTGAAAACGCATAAGCTGTCAAAATGCAGTTTACCCAAACAGGCAGGAGCAGGAAGGGTGCGTTTTTAAAACGTCACCGCACCAAATAAGCTGCCCCAAACGGGCTCATAGTCGATGTCAATGGCTCTGAGGATCTGGGCCTAAATAAATGGTCGATGCGGGCTTTCGCCATTATCGGGATGGTCACCGCCTGCTTGATTTCCTTGATTAGAGCTAGATCGCTCATCCTGGCAACGCCACCCTACATACAGATGTCAGCAAGGATGTGCTCCAGCCATAATTGTACAACTGTCGGCCTCCGCAACGCGCGCCAGCTTAGCGTTCACCACATCAATGATAATGCCACCGTGCAATATCTGGGCAAGACCAACATTCACCGAGAACGCATTCAAGTTCTTCAAGGGCTCTGTGATAGTTGCACCGTTCCCGTATACCGTCACGACGCCGTTGTCCCCCATGGCGCTCTGATTGAGAAGAGAGACTAGAGTGGAGGAGTGAGTGCCACCAAGAGAGAAGAAGAGGAAGCTGGCAAAAAACCTGAAAAAGAGAAGGCGGAGGAAGGCCTGGAGAATAAGAAACTTTTTCGGTGGCACGAGCTCTAAGGTTTGTTTCAAGACTATGATATCATGTTGAAATTTAGAATAATACTGGAAAAAAATCAGAATAATTATTGATATGAAATGAGATATAAATAACCCTTACATGAATTGTAGAATAGGAAAGACAACGAAAAGAAAAATAATATCATCTAATATCTCCAATTATATTAATTATTTGAAGATAAAGGAAACAAAATAAAAAAAGATACCCTAAATAGAAAAAGAAATCAATTCAATCAAATAAAATAAATCTAAATAGGAAAAGAAATAAATCCTAATCTAAGAAAATAATTTATTCCTCATAACTTCTCACAAAAATAAATTATTTCCTAACATAACTTCTAACAGTTCTCTCCTATTTTCAAATAAGTTTTAATTTTCAAAGGAAACAGCAACAGCAAAAACATATGACAGTTTCATATCTTCAATCAATTAGCCCTTGTCTAGAAACTCTGTGAATTATATCGTAGGATGTCAACATCAGAAAATTGATAGCGCTACTTTTCAGTGAAGCTCTAGCATCACATATTGGTGTTTGTAACATTTCCTACAACTTTCAAGCAATCAGATCATAGAGTGGGCTACTATTTATTTTTGGGGCACGTACATACATACCACCCAATTGCTATGTGTTCCTAAACTTTAATTTTTTTACAATATACCACCCAAATCTTCATATCAAATAAAAAATACCACTATTTTATCTTTTAAAAGGTTAAATAGACTGTTTCATGTATAGATAAGGTGTCATATATGTAAAAAATTGAAGTTTAGGTGTCATATATATAAATACATAAGATTTGAGTAGTATTTACGTAAATCTTCCTTTATTTTTCAAGTTGTTTTCAATTACTGAAAACATAAATTAAAAGTTGTGAACAGAAAGCAAGAAGAGATAGCAAATATACGTCGAGAAAACCGTATCAATATGAGAAGAAACCAAAACAACATTTTCTTCTGCTTCTGGCAGATACTTTGGCAAGATTCTCAATACAACATGCTTCAGGTCAGAATAAACTAGCGTTTTCCCTTTGAAAAGACCACCAACAAGTCGATTTGCACCAGTTTTACTACTAAAAAGATCCACTTGGACATCGGCCTCCCAATGAGCTGACTTCTTGATATTCTCTGATGCTGACAAAACATACTGTTACAAAAAAAAAATTAGGGAAATATTTCACTAAAGTAAATGGAAAAAATTACCAAGCAAGCTAATAATTAAACTGAGCAAGTATGCAAAATATTTTTTTTTATGCAATCATAAAAATGTATTTCATCCCTTTAATCGAGAGTTTGCTTAGGAAAGAAATCCTTTTAATCAGTTGTAATTAAACAGCTAAAATTGTCTTTATGCGAACCTATACCCTATACTAAAAAAAATTTATATTCAATTAAATCACATCAAATAGAGGGAGATATGTAGAAACATAAACCTTAATTTAAAATTATAAGTATTTTATTCTAGATTTCATAGTAAATTTTATTTCAATTTTAAGAGCATATGATATTTTTAAGTAGCACCAATAAATATCCCAAAAGGATTTTTAAATATTATTTGGGTGCAAGTATTATGGTCCGTCACATTAGTAAAAAAAAAGTTTATGAGACTTTAAAGAAAACCAATGGTGGATAATTTGTAAGACCTGATGATATTTCAATTGATGTGTGGAAATATTTAGGAGATTTGAGAGTTTCTTGGCTTACTAAACTCTCTAATATTATTTTAAAAATTAAAAAGATGCACGAGGAGTGGCGGAAGAGTATTTTGGTCCCCATTTTTAAGAATAAAGGGCACAAGAGTTTGCAAAATTATAGATGAATTAAGTTGATGTGTCATACTTTAAAATTATGGGAGAGGGTAATTGAACATAGGTTAAGACGTATTAAAAAGATTTCTCATAATCAATTTGGATTTACATCGGGCAGGTCTACTATGGAAGCTATACATTTATTGAGAGGTTTGATGAAGAAGTTCAGAGATAATAAGGAGAATCTACATTTGATTTCTATTGATTTAGAAAAAGCTTACAATAAGTTTCCAAGAGATATGCTTTGGAGAGTTCTTGAGAAGAAAGGTGTTGACATGACTTATATTCAAGTCATTAAAGATATGTATACTTGAGTTGTTACTTGTGTTCGAACTGAAGGAGGATTGACCAAATATTTTCCTATTTCTGTTGGATTACATCAGAGATCGACTTTAAGTCTATATCTTTTTGCTTTAGTTATGGATGGACATCTACAGGAGGATGTACATTGTTGTATGCTTTTTGCTGATGATATCCTTCTCGTGGATAAAACGAGAGGAAAAGCCCAGAAAAACCTTGAATTATGGAGGTCTACATTGGAGTCAAAAGGCCTTCATTTAAGTAGAACTAAAACTGAATACATGGAATGTAATTTTAGTGGTAGTAGCTCTAGTGACAGAAGTGTGACTTTGGGTGATCAAATTATTAAAAGGTGTGAAGTTGTTGTTGTTGTTGTTGTTGTTGTTGTTGTTGTTGTTGTTGTTGTTGTTGTTGTTGTTGTTGTTGTTGTTGTTGTTGTTGTTGTTGTTGTTGTTGTTGTTGTTGTTGTTGTTGTTGTTGTTGTTGTTGTTGTTGTTGTTGTTGTTGTTGTTGTTGTTGTTGTTGTTGTTGTTGTTGTTGTTGTTGTTGTTGTTGTTGTTGTTGTTGTTGTTGTTGTTGTTGTTGTTGTTGTTGTTGTTGTTGTTGTTGTTGTTGTTGTTGTTGTTGTTGTTGTTGTTGTTGTTGTTGTTGTTGTTGTTGTTGTTGTTGTTGTTGTTGTTGTTGTTGTTGTTGTTGTTGTTGTTGTTGTTGTTGTTGTTGTTGTTGTTGTTGTTGTTGTTGTTGTTGTTGTTGTTGTTGTTGTTGTTGTTGTTGTTGTTGTTGTTGTTGTTGTTGTTGTTGTTGTTGTTGTTGTTGTTGTTGTTGTTGTTGTTGTTGTTGTTGTTGTTGTTGTTGTTGTTGTTGTTGTTGTTGTTGTTGTTGTTGTTGTTGTTGTTGTTGTTGTTGTTGTTGTTGTTGTTGTTGTTGTTGTTGTTGTATTTGGATGCAAGTATTTGAACTAAATATGTATTCAAAACGCCGAGTACATTAAATATAATGCATTTTTTATGCTCAAGATTTTTTATTTGGTTGTAGTAAATTTAGAAAATAAACTTTGTCTGATTGGTTATAAAATGAATCAATTTTTTTATTAATATATTCTTTCAAAGATATTTTGTTGTATTAACCTTTTTTAGCACACAAAATGGATGAGGATTCAAAAAATAACCCCAAAAAATTAAGTTAAGATTAATGATGACAATAATGAAAGATAATGAGGAAAATCGAGAATTTAACAGTAGTAGATTTCGCATAAAAGTCTTTTACAAACACCAAACCACTTGCCTGTATTGCAAGATCATGAGCATCAGAACCAACAGGATGAGGGCCAAATTCAGTCAAATTCTTGACATGAGCCAAGGCTAACACTTCTGAAAAACCCCGTTTACCTGCCTGTTCAGCTGTTAAGGGCATAGGGAGATTATTATATTGAAAAAAATAGACTGCCCAGGAGCCATTTAGCAGGAGGACAAACAAGGATAGCCATAAAAACCCCGTTCTGCTAGTTTTACTAGGCTTTTGATCATCTGGAACCTCAACACCATGTTCACGAGCCATCTTACAAATGTGTTACTATACAAATTGAGCACCTGCTAAGAAGAAGTCGTCCAATCAACCAATCAAGTAGCATAGTTAAGAGAAATAATCCAATAAACAAAATTAGCAACCTAAAATGCATGAGATAAATTATAATATGCTAAATTTCAAAATGATGTCATCAAACACCAGTTAAAAATAAGGAAGACTTATCTAACATTTATACTTTAAATTTTACACATATGCCACTTAACCTATTCATGAAAAGATGTATTTCACTTTTTAAAAGTTAAAATATTTTTTATGATGTGATATGAAAGATTTAGGTGGTATATATGTAAAAATTAAATTTTGGTCGTTAGATATGTAAATACATAAGATTTGGGTTAATGCCCCTAAAAATAAGTCGTCCAGTCGGTCCTCCCTGTAGAATATATAAAAGAAAGAAATCGTACAAATAAAATTAGCAGCCAAAAATGCATGAAATAAATTATAATATACTGATCTTCCAAATGATGTGACCTTCTGATATTTAGACACGTTTCTGTCTTTACCTTCTTTATCCTCTGATAAGATGAAGGTGATTTAGACTTGGCGTGTGACAGCATTTTATAGCAATAAGATTAAACAGATTTAATTGTCAGGAATAAAAGTAGATTTTCTTACTACAAATATACCAACATATTTAGGGTATCATGAAGAAGGATAAAACTGCTTACAAGTCAAACGTATCTCTCAAAGAATAAAATCCTTTCTTCTTACAAATATTTTACCTTCCATCAAAATATTTTAGCGATTAAGATTTAAAATAGCTAAAATATAAAATCTAAACTTTCAATGAAATTAGCTAATTTAAATTTTAAGCATTAAAATGATTTGATGAAAGGTAAAAAATGTGCAAGAAGAATGAATTCAAACCTTCTAAAGGGATAGTAGTTTGACTCTACGTTTCATTAAACAATTTTCTTCCTCCTTTTTCTATAGTATTTACCTTTCTACATTCATTCAGTAAAATTTCTTTAGGACCAATGATAAAATTAAAAATAAAATTTACTTTTTGAATTTTCTAGAAACCCTTATTGAATACCTTTTTAATTATAGGCGTAAGAGAATGCAGGAAGACTTTTGTTAGAATTACATTGAAATAGTCTAGTTTATAAAAAGGGTTATTTGTATTATTTTCATTTTATGAAGGAATGTTTATTGTTTTTGTGGAATTACGCTCCTTATTATTATTATTTACTTTAATTATATTTAGTCATAGTATAATTCTTAATTATTGGTATTTATGTTATTCCATAATTATAGGAATTACTTTATTGTAGGAAGATTTCTTTCCTTCTTTTGTTTCTTTTGTACTCACCTATTTATAGGTGAATTATCTATGTATTTAGTGAGAGAAGATTTATTCAAAAACCACATGGTATCAGTCCTTAATTATTGATATTTATGTTATTCCATAATTATAGGAATTACTTTATTGTAGGAAGATTTCTTTCCTTCTTTTGTTTCTCTTGTACTCACCTATTTATAGGTGAATTATCTATGTATTCAGTGAGAAAAGGTTTATTCAAAAATTCACATGGTATCAGAGCCATCAAAGAAAGCTTCTCCCGCTCGGCTCGATCATGGCCCTTCTCTCTGGTGATTGCCCTAGTTTGCGCCTACACCGAGCGCCGCTCCTCATCTAGCAATCGCGCCTCTCTCCAATCGTCCGCGTCCGACGATCGTTCGGCTGCAATCCTGCGTCTTCCACTCTTCCGCGATATCCCGCGATTGTCCGCTATCCCGCCCCTTCCGCGATCTCCAATCTCCGATCTCCCGCGTCAAGGCTTCTCCTTCTCCCATCGTCTGCAA